CTGTCAACATAGCCAAGTCTGCTTCCCAGTTCTCTAAGATGAGATTCCACAGTGAGGGCTATGAAGTCCCCACATGACTTCCTCTCCAATGGCATCTTACTCCTCTGGGATTCCTCCGTGTTTGTAAGGCATTCCATACAGGTGAGCACACAGTCTATAACCTGACAGGAAGGAACAGCGCTGACACTGCCTCTGTGTAACCTCTATCCTGTCTTACCAGGCCACGGTTACTCTTGTGCACATGCACTGCCCTCATCGTTTTTTTGATGTGTGTCTAACCGGCTTCTACTGGGGATGCAAGTTTTAACACACAGGAAAAGACCCCAGTGCTGTGGGAAACAGGGGCTACCCTGCTTGGGAAACACCTAATGCGTGCAAGTTATTAAGCCTCTTTTAAGTGGAGTTAACAATGTGTCTCACCAAGGGCTAACTAAGAACAAATTACATGGTGACCAAGAATGTTGTTGTGATAAACACATAAATGTACTGTTATCATTACAGATCACATGGGCGTGACTGTTTTCTTCCAATTAAGAACAACATTGTTTGGGAGGATTTCTTGTCAGTGGTGCCTAGCAGTAGTTATATAAAATAGATTAAACCCTATTTCTTTGCTCTTCTACTTTGAGAAGCAAGAAGAGGTTAAAAGCAAGGAGCTGCAGGGCTGGGGGTGTGGCTTAGCCTGCCTGAGGCCCTAGGTTTCATCCCCAGCACAGGGATGCAGGAGAAGAGAGCAAAGCTCGGGATTCTTAGGCAACAGAGGTTCTATTAGTATGTCACACTCTTGAGAGGAAGACTAGAACAGAGCAGAATGTAAACAAACATATCCGAGACCTGGGAAAAGTCTACAGTGGCCCCAAACAAAAACCAGGCCAGACAGAGGCTGGGTCTCCTCCAGCTACACAGCGGTGCTTTTATGACTGATCGAGCCCAACTTCTCCACAGGGAGATTTTAGGGAAGGTTTCTGAAGCTCCAGACAGTCCACTCCTCCTCCTCTTTTGTGATTGATTTTTATTTCATGTGCATTGTTGTTTTGTCTGCCTGTATGTCTGTGTGTAGGATTCTCTGGAGCTGGAGTTACAGACAGTTGTGAGCTGCTTTGTGGGTGCTGGGAATTGAACCTGGATTCTGTGACAGTGCTCCTAACTGCTGAACCCTCTCTCTCCAGCCTCAGACAGACCACTTTTCAAGACAGAGCCTGTTGGCCCAAACTAGAGCCTCAGGTGTTTGCAGCAGACTGTGAACTTGTTTTCTGGGCTCCACTGTCACATAGGGTGAGCGCCTTCCCTGTGTGGTCCCTGTCACCCATTCTTCTCTTTTGGACTAGGGTTGAGGCACTGGCTTGGGCCTTTTCTTTTCCCTTGGTGCTTTTCTGCCCTTATGAAACTTGATTTTATTTGATTTCTAAAAATAGAGGCATGGAGAAAGAATCCATTGCAACTCCACTCAACAGAAGATTCCTGAACAAAGTTCTATCAGCTCATCTGTAAGTCTGTCCTGTAGAGTCTTTGCACCTCATGAAAAATTAGTATTTTATTTTAAAAATGGCTTTACATTTATTTCTTCTCTTGTGTGTATGTGTGTGGGAACATCGGATGTGCCTCCCTGCATGTGTGGGTGTCAGAGGAACCGGTTCTATCCTTCCACCCATGGGGCTTTGGATGGAACACGGGTGTTCAGACTGGGTGGCAAGCACCCTTACCCATGGAGCCATCTTAACAGCTCAATACTTTATTTTTTTTTAAAAAATGATTTGCTGTGCATTAGGAACTTCTGAAAAATTTAAAATCCTGTCATTTGAACAACTTACCATAAAAAATGCCATAAAGAAATGCTAAGGAGCCCATAAAGACTAGAAAGTAACATAAAACAGTATAAACATTGCTGCAGTGATGCAGTCTAAACAGTATTGCTTTCCTCTTACTGACTACCTGCACTCACCAATGCATGTGAAGACCTTTGATCCCATTGCACAGGGACCTAGGACACTGTTGTGAGTGGCTGCGGTGTGCCTCTCCTCTGGCCACTCTTTATTAATGTATACACACACTTTTGGTCTCTTAATAGACTCAGTCCCAACTAGGATCCCAAGAACTAAGAATGGATCAGATAACTCCCACTCTGAAAGGACATGATGAGTTCAGCCTAGCCTACATAAGGTCCTGACTCAAAATAATCACAACAATAATGTTTTAAAGATGTCCATGGAGCACTGGTTGCTAGGAGGGAGCACACCAGAAGGACGGCATTCTCAGAAAAGGCAGACATGACTGGGAATGTGTGTGGTGACACTCACAGCACATGGGGAGTCCCCGTGGGCCTGATTGGAGCACAGGATCACACTGAAAGAAGACAGTAAGCGAATAGTAAGCATGAAGGTGGTCTGCCTTCCCCCTTAGAAATTATTCTGATACTGCCATTACTGACGAACAAGGATGGGAATTATTGTGACACTTTGATTTCAGAGAACTGAACGGTTATCATCTTAATATTGCTCTATCTCTATAATTTCTCTATAGTTGGGCCTGCAGGACAAGTCCTATATAACAGAAGTCTTTCCTCTTAATGAGACATGCCATGCCCACCTGTTCATGTGGTGGCAGATGCTTCGAGGGACTACAAAGCAAATGTCAATGTCAAAACCACCTAAAAACATTTAAAGAAGGAAGCTCCAGGCTGTTCAGAGAGCATGGCTTAAAAATATTTACAAATGAAATGCTCTACAAAGTGGCCACTACTTCCAACCCAGGAATACCCTGAATCTGGAAGCTGGAAGCTGTTAGGAGGCAGAGCTGTGGGGTATTATTTATAACCTGGCAGTGAAAATGACTAGAACCACATGCGTCAGGCAGAAAGGCTGGTCTCCCTAACTCCAGGTAAAATAACATTCAGAACAGTGAAAAACACCCACAGTCGAAGCTGTGCAGGCCAGGGATTTAAGGAACCATTTCCCCTGCTGATTTTTGATGTTTATGTGGAATGTTCTTCAAGCAGCAAATAACTTAACAGTGATCATGACAGACTGAAAATGATACATCTTTCCCAGGACATAAATTAATTCTTTTGGTGGGAAATTGCTAAAACGAACAGGGTGTTATAAAAATTTCTTTATGACTGAAGGAAAAGAAATGATTCCATTTCTTCCATACATTCTTCCATAAAAAATAATAAACTCTCACTTCAAACTGTCCTGATATTCACAGGGCTCAAGGTGCCTGTTACTAATTGGGGCAGTCCTGTTTATCTGGTGTTGGCCATGAGTCAGTCCACATTACCTCAAGTATGAAACACATTCTGCTGGAGACCACTTGCCCACACAATTCATGTTCCATATGAATAAATACTGTAGAGATGCACAGAGAGGAGGATGCAGCACTCCCAATGCCCTGTTCTTCTGCTCTTCAGTTTTACATGGTAAACACTAAGCAGAGATTCTGGAAGCCGATGTTCACAAAACAGAATGTAGGAGGATCCTGAGGTCATACCCCCCCACCACCCGTGACCTGAAACATCCCAACAATGTGGGGAGACTAAACTTTTAACTTGGCATGCTAGAGCACTTTGTGACTTGCTTAAGGTAACAGCATTTCTGACGAACTCAGAGGAAATTCTGGGTCCTTGCTTGCTCCACCTTTCCTCTGTTCAAAGTGCTCAATCCTGGATAAACTAAGGATATCCATCCATCATGAGATGGAAGTGGCCCCAGAAAGGTCCCCTAATTACCGCCATTGAGACTGGGAACTCTCCAGGGTCTTTCCTTGGAGTGTAATCATGTATATTAAACCTCACATAAGGACTCTCCTTAAACTTTGTTGATCCTAGCATCTTCCCAGACACTGGAGGGTCCTTTTACCCAAATATTTTGTGAATTAAATTAATTAATGTGTGAAATACAAACTCTGGCCACCTCCCTTGTTAGAAGAAAGAACCAGCTCATCTCAGTCAGGGAGGTGATGCTAAAGACATGCCCGTGCCATCCCAAATGGCTTATCCTTTCTCTCAGAATTGACCAGAATCTCTAACAAGAGCCATAGTGTCCTAGGCTGTGCCACCACCTCATCTTCCTCCTCAGTCTGGCAGTGTGGCCCGCTTGGGGACAAGTAGGCTCTCCTCCACAAAGCTGTAGTGCATAGAAGCACACTTCCTTCCCCCTGTCCCAGCAACTCTCCTTCCTGTCCTACTCTGCCTTACTGTCTTTCCATGAGTCTCTTCTTCCACTGCAAGCTGACCCTGGAGGCGCCCATGCCACTGAATTCTTGATAACATGATTCCAGATAACAACACTGTACTTACTCATGTTCTTCTTTCATTAGTGAGAGTCCACATTCCTACAATGGGAGAATCTCCCCCCTGCTTCTCAGATAAGACAAAGAAGGGCCTTCCCAGTCCCCACTCCCTTATTTACACCTCTGCCCTGAAGGGGCCTGGGGTGCTCTCATCCTGGTGTGAGTTTAGAAGGATGGAATGGGAAACAAATGAACTTGGGAAAAAATGTACTAAGAAATTCAATTGTCAGGGACACAAGTTGCTCATCCCATAGTCTGCTTTATGCAGGGATTGAGTTGATATTTTTATCTTCAGATTTTAATCATCACCACACTTGGGAAGATGCCAACATCTTCTACCATGTGTAAGACTGAGATGAGGCGTGCTCACTTCCATAGTTCAGTGTCTCACACGTAGACAGAATATGCTTTTGTTCCCTATTTTATTATAAAAAATTTCAAGAATAAGCAAATATAGGGAGACAGGTATAAAGAATGGTCCAGCACCCCACTGTATACAGGTGAAATGGTCCAGTGCTTTATCCTTGTCAAGCCAAGAAAATGAGCAGATGAAATATGACTGCTACTTCGCACACAATGGTAAGGTCTTAAAACCTAGAAAATCATCACCACAGACATGCATGTACTCCATAACTACTTAAAGATAACAGACAGACAAGTGGACACAGAGCACAAGGAGCGGAGATGAGGATGAGTCCCGGCTAAGGGGTTACCTGTTGGAGTGCTGCTGCGGAATGAAGACGAGGGAGTGATGGGTGGAGTCACAGGGGGAGTCAGGCTTCCGCTGCCATGACGTGGTGGAGTGGACACATTCCCTCGAGACACCGAGCTGGACAGGGTCGGTGAAAGCTTCGGCTGAATCTTCTTCTTCAGGGACTCCTGTTCTCGGCGTGCAGCATCTGTCATGAATCTGAAATGACAGTGGTAGGTGGTCAGCGAAGGCCTTACAAGAAAACATGTGACAGTGGAGTTTCATAGATGATCTGTCCTGGGGGGAAAACTTGGCAGCAGTTTTTTTTTTTTTTTTTTCCATTTGAAGTCTCATGAAAGCTTGCCCTTTCCTAAGCAATGAAGGATCTTCCTATCTTGTTGCTTTTGAATTTCCTCCAAATTGGGCCCATATTTTTTCCAGGAAACCTTGATACAGGTCTATACTCACCTTAATGTCTTCTGTTTCAAGAGCTTTTCTCTTGGGAGGTTCTCTCTCACCTGCCAACTGGAGGAAGCCCACCCATTCATAAGTCCCTGGCCACTCCTGAGTGATACTTGACAGCCATGGTCTCATATATATCTGCTCCCTTTAAATTTTTTTCCTCTAGATTCTCATGTTGTTGTTTGGAATTGAGCTTTGCTAGACCAACAACTGCAGAATGGCTGTGCTCAACAGCCCAAGCAGAGTCGAGAGGTGTGAGAGCATGATAAAGCAGAAGGTCACCCCACCCTGCCATGGGCCTGCTTGAGTTCTGTTTCTCTTACTCAGAAAGGTTGTTAGGCCTTGTTTGCCTCATCTGGACATTTCAAAGGTATTCTCCCAATGTCTGTTCTCTCATACCTATATAATATAATGTTTCATAAGTCCATCTAAAGTAAGATGTAAGACAATCTAGAAATGGTAGTCTTTACCTAAAAGCCAAACACTCTCCATATTATTGGCAGGTGGACTTTGTCATCTGCATTTCTGGAAACTGTTATGATGAACACAGTGACTAGAAAATATGAAAGCAATCAGGTGATCCCAGACACCTGTGTCTACCTGTGCTGTGAGTGGAACACTACTGTGCCTCTCAAGCCTTTGCCATCAGCTGTAGTCTGACCAGCTCAATACAAGTCACTGTAAACTAATTGCATTGCACGGCACCATGGCATCTCATCAAAACCACTTCACATTCTGCTGACATAATTCCAGAGTGTTTTTCTTCACCATGCTATGAAAATCTGGAAGTTAACAGATTGTTCTTAGAGTCAATTAAACACCAAATGAAATAAAGGTAATACTCTTCCAGTGTCGTTAAATCCTTACTTTTCTCCAAAGCACTAAATAATCCAATTAAAAAGTGGGGTACAGAACTAAATAGACAATTCTCAATAGAGGAATCTAAAATGGCTGAAAGACATATAAGAAAGTGTTCAACATCCTTAGACATCAGGGAAATGCAAATCAAAACACTCTGAGATACCATCTTACTTCTGTCAGAATGGCTAAAATCAAAAACACCAATGACAGTTTATGCTGGAGAAGATGTGGAGAAAGGGGAACGCTTCTCCACTGCTGGTGGGAGTGCCAACTTGTACAGCCACTTTGGAAATCAGTATGGCGACTCCTCAAGAAAATGGGAATCAGTCTACCACAAGATCCAGCAATCCCACTCTG